CGTCAGCGTGGGCGTGGGCCAGAAGGGTGAGGCACAGACTCCTGGAGACAGTAGTTTGTTCTCTAACCAGACTGTTTCTCCTAGCATCTGTTTAGCACGTGTTAATAGGGATGCTACGCAGAGAGAAAAGCTGTGCTCAGATAACCTGGAATAAATAAAAACACATAGGTTTCTTTGCTTCTGGATGTCTCAGAACCTTTGCTATGCTGATGGGCACTGTGACTTCCGAAGAGAGGATGTCAAGTGGCACTTTTCACCCTCAGTGACCACGAGCCCTGTTTCCACAGACTGTCCCTGGGAGCCGGCTGCACGGAGCACTGCTTTGCCGAACACCGAACGAAAGCCATGTGTTGGCTTTTCTAGCAGGCATGACAGACCTGCCTTCCTGGCACCGGGGGCCCTGAGCAGTGGGCACCTACTTGCCCAGCGTGCTTCCTTTGTCATTGCTGCAGCGTTTAGCTGTTATCTAACCGCTGTGTGCGGTGCTGCAGGCACTTCAGATTTCCCACGACTTCCTCGGCTTCCTGCTTCGCATCTCCCCCACGTGACTGACTGGAGGTACGGAGCACGCTAGACCTGGTCAGGAACTTCAGGTTGTAGTTTTGCTCTTTTGAAGAAACAGATTTTTGATCAGCTAAAGCAAGTATACAAGTTGCTTCTGTATGATCATTACAAACCAGTGGTTATTAGTATATCCACGCAGTTGCATGACCACCCCCACAGTCAATTTTAGAACATTTGCATCTTGCCTCAAAGAAACCCCATGCCTCTGGCAGTCACCCCCATACCCCCTGCTTGCCCCAGCCCTGGACAATTCACTGACCCATTTTCTGTCTCCAAAGGTCTGTACTGGACATTTTATGTACACGGAATCTTAACGATATTTGCCTTTCTGTGATAGGCATCTTTCACTTAGTGTAGTGTTTTCAAGGTCTGTCTGTGTTGTAGCGTGTCTCAGTACTCCATCCCTGTTTATGTCAGGATAACATTCCAGCGTGTAGATACAACACATTTTATTTATCCATTCATCAGTTGATAGACATTTTGGTTGTTTCCACTTTCTAGCTATTACGAATAATGCCGCTATGAGCATTTGTAGAGATTTTTGTATAGACATGTGTTTTCATATGTCCTTGTGTGTCTGTCTAGTAGAATTGCTGGGTCTCATGGTAACTCTGTTTTTGACTGGTTGAAGAACTATCAGAAAGCAGCTGTACCATTTTATATTCCCACCAGCAGTGTATGAGGGGTCCAGTTTTTCCACATCTTCACCATCACTTGTTATTGTTTATCTTTTTTTTTTAAATTTTTATTGGGTAATAGTGTGCTTGTGTCCAGGACCCATCAGCTGCAAGTCAAGTCGTTGTCCTTCAGTCTAGTTGTGGAGGGCACAGCTCAGCTCCAAGTCCAGCCGCCGTTTTCAGTCTAGTTGCGGGGGACGCAGTCCACCATCCCATGCGGGAGTCGAACCAGCAGTCTTGTTGTTCAGAGCACGAGCTCTGACCAACTGAGCCACCCTGCCACCCTTGTCTGTCTTTTTGACTGTGGTCATTCGAGTGGGTGTGAAGTGATTTCTCACTGTGGTTTTGACTCGTATTTACCAGGTGGCTGATGATGCCAAGCATCTTTCCACGTGCTTAGTGGCCATTTGTGTTTCTTTGGAGAAGTGTCTATTCAGATCCTCTGCCCACCGTTTAATTGAGTTGTCTTTTTATTACTGAATTTTAATAGTTCTTTATTCTAGATACAAGTCCCTTATTAGATATATTTTTTATAAAAATGTTCTCCAGTTCTGTGGGGGTTTTGTTTTGTTTTGTTTTTGTTTTTTAGCTGAGCCA